TTATTATCAAATCTCGATTTTCGTATTTACCTGATTTAAAAGTTGAACGTTGCGATTCTTATTCAGGCGATTTAAATATTGTACAGTGCGATTCTTACTTACGAGATTTAAAAAATCAATATCGCGATTTGTATTTACGAGCTTTTAAAGCCCTATGTAGCAATTCGTATTCACGTGAGCTTAAAATCCAATATCATGATTCGTTTTTGTGGTTGTAATATCGCGCGATTTAAAAATTATGCATCGTGATCAAAAAATTAAAAAATCATGATTTGTATTTTCGCATTTTTTAAATTCGATGTAGAGTTTCATATTTACGTGATTTAAAAGTCTCATATCGGAATTTATGTTCACATGGTTTACAAATTTAAAAATCGCACTTTTTTGTCAAATTTTTGTGTATATATATATATATATATATTTCCTAAAATTACTGAATCAGATTGTAATAAGTTTAATCAAGGGATATATTTTGAGTTTTTTTAAAATTATTCAAAAAAAAAAAAAATTTCCCCCTTAATTTTGTAAAAATATAAACAATTTTGTACTGTTAAAAACATATGAAAAATTGGAATTCTAGATAAGTCTTTAGAAAAATGAAAAAAAATTTGCACAAAATTGGAATTCTAGCAAAGTCTTGTCAAAAAATAATCTAATATTTTAATATTCTGCAAATCTTAATGTTTCTGAAGCTTTTAACTTTTCTCTATTACTAATTACAAAACACATATCTACCAGTAAAAGAATACTCATCTCAACAGACACATAGAGTTCTTCTTTTTCTGCCAAAATTGGTTAAAGAGAGGGAGCATGTGACAAAGGAAGTTTTGGATGAAGAGATATTTGAAAATATAATGGCATGCTTTCTCTTCTACTATTCTAGCCTGTATTAGAACCACAGAGCATTGGTTCTAACACGTAAAAACATGAAGTTACATAATCCCAAAAATAATTTGTCTAAGGTTTCAGCCAAATTTTTAATGGCATGAAAAGAGAGTTGCAGTTCATAAAGTATTAAAACATTTTTACTTAATATAAAAAGTTATTAATTACAAGAATACGATCTTAATTCTTGAAACTGAAGTTTTTTTTATAAACAATATTTTGAGGCAGACAATGTTTTAATGTACACAAATGAGTATGTTTAAAAGTAGTGAATCAAAACAGAATAATATTTATATAATTTATAGAGAATATTTCAACAAACCTGGCTTCATCTGACATTGTTGTACTTCGAAGAGGAGCCATATAATTGACAAGTTTTGGATGAACATCATACCTAATAAGCAAAATGTAATAATAAGAAAAGTGTAGGAAATTATTGAAGTGATGTAATCTAACTATTATTTTTCCTTGTCTTACTTACTATTTTTTTTTTAATTTAAAAATAGGTATAAATTGAGTTGAATCAATCTTTGTATGAACAAAAATTTTTCTTTTGGACAGGAATGTAAAAGAGTTTTTGACAATTTACCAAATCAAATGATACCTAACTCATTTTGATATTACAAGTTCAGGATTTTTCTCAAAAATCCTAAAATAAATTTGAAACTGTTTTTTTTTTTTTTTAAACATTGAAACATAAATTGTTTTTATCTACTATGACAAATTAACGTTTCATAATTACAAAAAAAAAAAAAAAAAAAAAAAAAAAAAAAAAAAAAAAAAAAACATTAGTTAGTCAATTGAGATTGTGTTGCAAAAGTAGATTGATCTTTAGAAAATTCTTAATACTTGAAGTGTAGTTACACTATCACTAGGTTAAATGCTTTCCAATGACCTTACAAATTGGCAGCTGTGCAAAAAGGAAGATAGAACTTAGCTAACAATTAATCATTATTACTAAATTAACACTTAGACTACAAGTGAATCATTACTTGTTTACTATAGCTCTACAACCTTTCACAAATTAGAGTATTTGTTTTTTAAATTTTATAATGTACAAACTAAATATATCACTCTCAAAAAGGTATGAAAATTTATAGCACTATTAAACACCTGTAACTAATATAAAAATTAATATTCACTAACCAAATTAAATTAACTCACAGAATTAATTTTTAACTATTCTTTTTGGAAATAATACATTAATTAAATATTATGGTAAAGATCAAAATTATACCAAATGGAAAAAATATAAATAAAACAGAAATATCACACTTCTATCATAATTCTCTATTAACTATTGCTTTACAATAAATGGAAAAAATGGTTATTTTCTCAAAGGAAAAAAAAATTATTTATTCTAAAAAATAATGATTATTTCTAACAAAAAAGTGACCACATAGGACATGTATATAAAAAGATTAAAATTCACTTTACAGAATATTCCCAAAATTAGGTTTATCATGTGTGGGAACAGGGTGTCTACTGTTTATGAAAATTTTGGTGACCTTTATTCTAAATTCGATTATTCGGATTTAAGCTAACTAATTTTAACAATACAATTTCTCTAATGAATATGATATTGATGGACAGAAATTAGTTTTTAAAAAGATGCAGTAATTAGTAGATCTAATGAAAGATATTTTTGTTTGAAATGGTAGATACTATGAGGACAGCTTTGGCCATCATTCGCCTACATGTTGCCAAAATTCAGAACGTGTTAATAATATTTTGATTTAGTTATTTACTTTAATTCGCAATAAAAAAATATTGTAAGTTTCAAATGAAGACTGCAATATTATATTGCAATCATTGCAATTAATATAACATTCAATGAAATTGGCTTGGTGGACTACAATGAACACAAATTTGCCCAAATGAAGATACTATAAAGCATCAGATTACTTTTTTTTAATGAACATAATTTTTTGCAAAATTTTTACTACAGCATCTTAATTCCTTTAATGCGTTTAGAATTAATGTTGCATGTTTTTTTTAACAGCTTTCTGAAGGTTAAAGTTTTGCTTCCTTTGACTTCAATGATTCAACACCATCAATCAGAGCTTAAGCTAAGTTAATTTGTATATTATTACATTTTGAAATTGTTGAATTGAAGTTTTCCTTATTCTTTTTATTTTTTATTGATATTCCCTCAGAATTCAATTTTCATATTTTGGATGTGCGTTTTCATCTTCTTTACAATTTTATTTTCTTCAGCTCTTTTATTCGGTTGTGCTTCAATAATTTCTTTTTTGTACATTTCATAAGAGCATTTTGAGACAATTTTAAGAGCTCTTTAGTTGTAAGCACAGAACAGGATCATTATGAAAATTTTTTAAGCCAACGAAGACATTTAATAGAGCATTCAATGTCCCTTCATTTATTGAAGATTTTTCTTTAGTAAAATTCTTCCAAACAAAGAAACTTCTCTCTTGACATCTGCACGTCTATAATAAATTGAGACACAAATGCTTGAATATTTTTTTTAAAATATTGATCTAATTAATTAAAATCATGCCAAATTGTGTATTAGGGAAACTTATTCCATATAAAAAAAAATAGAAGTTTTCGACAAAACGCCACCCAACAGCAGTGATTCACGCTCATTTGGAGATTCACAGAAAAGGTGACTTTTCTAATAAAACATAAAACTTTCAGTGACCTGCTTCGATTACTGACCTTTTTTTTTCCCTAGTGATAAATCAGTTATATTATATCATAATAATATATCTACTAATATTCATTATTAGTTCAATTTCTTTGCAAAGATGTTATGGTGATTTAAATTACATAATTTTAATTACCTAAAAAATAATTCATTTATCATTCATTATTATTAACCAGAAATATTTATATTATCACTAAAGAATTATTTCATATTGCCCTAAAAGTTATAATATATGGATGAATTTTTGTTCAATAGCAGTTAAAATACTTAAGTAATTCCAGAAACATTAAACACTTAATAAAATTACATAAAAAATCAAATTACAACTTAAGCTTCCATCTGTTGGGAATAATCAAAAACATTCATTTTACTTCTGAAAAATATATGTATACAGTCGAACCTGCTTAAGAAGTTTTTCAAGAGAGTGGAAAGAAATGACTTATTAAACGGGAAAACTTCTTAAACTGTTGAAGTTTAAAAATATATAAATTTTTCGCTTTACCAATTACTAAAATCGGTAATTTTTCTGTACCATTCATACTAGCCCCAACTAAAAGTGCCAAATGTTTTTTATTGTTTTTTCCTCCATGGCAACGTTTACCTTTAAATGCATAAGTTTTATCGGGTAAAAGATTGAAAAACAATCCACATTTCGTCATGTTAAAAATGTCCATTGGTTGATAACTTGAAATACTTTCAAGTAATTTAGCTTTCCAGTCTTCAGCTTCTTGTTAATCAATGCTGTTACAATCTCCCTTAATTGTTTTCTAAACCAATCCAGCTCATTTTTTCATCCGATCAATTCATCCGTTTGAAGGCGTGAAATCAACGTTTAATTTTTCCGCAATCTCTAAGGCTTTCCCTCTAAGTACAGTTACGTTGACAGGAATATTCGAGGATCTTGCTTGTTTAAACCATATCATCAGTTTTTCTTCATTTCACTATTTTTATTTTCTGGGATGTTACCCAACAAGAAGAGTTTAAGATGTTTTTCTCAGCAATAATGCAAATTAACATAGAAAAGGGGAGATTTAAATTTTTTGCTATTTGAACCCTTGTTAATTGAGAATAGCTGTCAACAGCTTCTAAAATTTTTACTTTGTCCTCAATAGATAGTGTTTTACGTTTAATGCCTTTACAGGACAAAATCAAATTTTTCTCTACGATATTTAAGATAAAAATGAAAATTAACCTTCACACTAAGAAAACTTAGAACAAAATGCTTCTAAATGTTTCGATATATCTTTCGCATCAGTCACTGCATGCCTCATCAGGCTTTGTAATTTTCACTTACAGGGGACGCAATATCCAAGCAATTCCCCAAATTCTTATCAGTTTCATTGTTCATCTGAAGGTTCACATTTCTTTGCTCACACCTGCTCCTGATGCATCACCTTCTTTTGTGTATGGAGGAGCAAGGAAGGTCCGTGGTCTTTGTTAATTTTGCATAGTCAACTTAACTGTTTTTGTCACAGAAAGGAAAAACTAGATAAGACATTTTAAATATAAAGTAAAAAAAATGAAGAAAATTTGAAGCTCGTGAAAATTATAACTTATTACGTGGGAAAACTTTTTAAGCGGAAACTTCTTAAAGAGGTTCCTCTGTATTTATATATATATATATATATACATGTTAAGAACTTTTGCAATATTTTGTAAAATGAACCATAGAATTTTTTTTATAGTTAGGAACTGTATTTGAAAAAAATCATTACAATATAAAATTTTTTAAAAAAGTTATAATTATTGAGTATTACAACTTGTTACTAGTTAAAGCAAGTTTTCTATAAGTTTGCAGGATTTTTTTCTAAAGCTTGAGCTGTAACTTCATCTGAAAGTGGAATACTGTATTTCAACAATACAAGTAACACTTGAGAAATTTAAGTTACACTTTTGAATCGCAAAACATTCTTTTGGACCATGAACTTTGAAGTGAAGATGCAAGTTAAAAATAACAGTAGGGAAACTTAACGTTGGGGTAAAATGTAATAAAATTTTAGCATTACAAGATGCAAAATTAAAAATTAAGATCAAACGGAATAGGGATTCAACTTTCTCTATGTTAATCTATGCAGAAGTGTATGAACACAATTTTCTTATTTATTATATCACTAATCTGATTTTTTTTGAATTTATTGAAAAGTGTTATACTATATCCCGCAACCAAAATTTAAACTTTAAGGTCACAAGCATTTTCAAAACTTAAAGAATGAAAAATTTTGAATTTTGTAAAAGTTTTAAAAAGTAAAATTTTGATCACTAAGTTCTGTAGAACACATTTCAATGAATAAAATATTTGGTTACATAATCAATAAAAAAATTGCACTCATACAATTCCTTGCAAGTATACATGGAGAAAATAGTATCCCTTTTCTGTTTGAAGGAGACTTTTTAGCTCCAAATTTACACTATTGACAGAGTTGTTCTTAAAATTACACTTTGGAGTTGAGCAACAGGTTTAAGTGAGAGTGGCAATAGAAAACTCAATTTTAGGGTAAAAATGGGCTTACATGACTAAATGTGACAAGGTGCCATTTAAAAATTATTTTCCAAATTCCTATTGTGATTTTATACTCCTTTAACATCAATAGTTTTATAAAAGCTTGTAAGCTTTTTTTTTCTTTCTAAGATAGCAGCACAAAAATGAAATCAGAATAGAAAATAAAGTTTTAGTGCTAAATAATATTTTATAGTAAAACTATTAAATTCTATTTCTTCCTTACTTTTAAACATAACTGTTTTAGTATTATAAATATGACATAATGGGTTTTTTGTTTTTGTATGAGTCAGAAGAGTTAAATTTTGCCAATTTATAATAATTCCATTTTAAGAAAAAATGAAACACTAATTCAAAAATAATAGAACCAAAGTATATTTACCTAAGTTTTCTTCCTTTACTAGCTTTTGTATCAACCTTCCTTTTCATCTTATTTCTGATTTTTTGCAATTCCATTTGTTTTCTAAAAGAAAATATAATTAAGCATGTAAAATATTTTCTGAGAAGTAATTTTGTTCAAATTATAAGAGTCCTGTAATTGTCAAATTGCAATAACCCAAAAATTTAAAAATTTATTTCAAATGGAAAATACATTGATAACAAAAATAGCATATGAATTCAAAAAAGATCAATGATGTAAAGAATAAGAAAATAGTTGTTCACTCATTTGACCTCTCCCTTCTCAATAGTTCAACTAAGAAAATAGGAATAAGGAACAGGATCATTTTTGAGAAAAGAATTAACTGTTTCAGGAAGTTAATTTTAGACAAGAACAAAGACCTGGTCCAGGGTCAATAGTTTTCAAAATTCTTAAGACAGCAATCACATTAAGAATGGCCATTCAGGAAGTTCTGGTCGGTCGAACTAAGATATCAAAAATAAACAAATTTAAAAAACTTTGAGTCTATTTAAGTGTATATATATATATATATATATATATATGGAAAAACTAGCTAAGACATTTTAANGAAATATATATATATATATATATATATATATATTTATATATATAGATATATAAAATATCGAAACGTAGAGAAAACATGGAAAAATTACAGAACAATGAAAAAGGGAGAAAAAAAAAAGACAAACTTTTTCAAAATTTGATAAAAAAAAACAATGGATACCCAACTAAAGTAATTAAATTCTATATTAAATCATTGAGTTAATTGTATACTATTGTAAATAAATTTACTAAAAAACTTCTTTGATAATTAATATAATTTTTACCATGCACATATCCATTTCAGGCAAATCCATGGCTAAAATTATGTGCAAAACAGGCAATTCATGCTTCTTTCTCTTTTTTCTCTCAAATAAATAAAAGTTAATTTTCTAAAATTAATACAAACACGAAGTTAAAGTTAAGTACATACGTTAATATATACGCGAAGAGTTTAGTTAATTATGTGAAAGAGATTATTTAAACTTCTCATCTGTTAGAGGGGCTAGTCTACAATTAAATTAATATTTCTTTTTAGCTTTAGTTTTAAGATCCATTTAATTCTATTAAGCTATTATTTTAGATGTTACAATATCCCCCCTCTCAAAGGTGTTGACCCGGCGGTGATCAGGCTTCACATAACATCTCATTGAGGAAAGATCAAAATCCTTACTTACCATATTCTATTTAAACTATTTAAAATTAATATTAATCTGAATGATTCAGATCACATGATCTGAATTACAAAAGCAATCTAAAAATAAAAACAATATTCAAATCTTATGTTAACAAAACATATGAAACTACCTCAATTGCAATGGTTTCATACTAACTCTCAAAATATTTAAAAATAGAGAACATAAAAGCATTCAATATTCTACTTAAGATGCTAAAATAACATCTGATGTAAAAAATAAAATAAAAACATAGTTGCAATTAAACAATAGGCCTTAAAAAATTGCTACCTAGGTTTAAGTCTTTGTGACATAAATCATTTGACTGAGGATCCATTAGCATACTTATAAAAACTTCTATAAAAAACTCTTAAATCTTCATCTTACAAAACTTTAAAATACTCATATATTTTCTCTTTTCTGTTATTCTTTAAACTAGCCATCTATACTTCATTCCACCTTAAGTTGGCACTGGAGAGAAGGGTAGGCAGACCGGATTACAGACGTTGTCATGGAAACTGGGTTACTCTTTAAGTCGGGCGAGGGATGAGGTAGCAAAAAAAGGAGAGAAAGTGGCCAGTATTGGCGTTTAAGAAAGCAAAACGCCGATGTTTTTTTTTAAAACCGAGAATCGTACTAAAATTTTGAACAGAATACAGAAAAGAACACGATTTTTTAGAGCATTTCTAATAATTATTTTAAGATACTAGTTGTAAGCTAATTTCTTAATTAGTATTTAAAAAGCAGATTTTCTTATTATGACTTTTTTAACTAAACTAAACTAATTGTAAACAATTAAAAAAAGGTATATTTGAAAAGTTTTTTTTTTTTTTTTTGCTGAAATCTAAGTGAAGAAATGAAATGCATAGAAGCGCATAAATACCAATGTTTTTTAATATTTACTGTTTTCTTTTATAAATAAAAAAAATTCTAATTTTTTTCAGAAAAGTTTCTTTTTTTTAAATATAAAAATAATTTTTTTCTGAAATATTTTTGCTTCTTAGAGACAAAAGAACTTACCTAAAATAAATAATTCTAAAATATTGTATAAATTTGGATTTTTAGTACTATCCACATAGGGAGTGCGTACTGCATGTACACCCCCCCCCATATTTTCAGTTGCCATATCCCACCCTCTTAGACTCAACAGGAGCTCATTGACCTGTCCTGGTGGTTATCATGTTATTCTTTAATATTTTGACAGTTCCTTCTGCAAACTTTTTGTGGGGTCGCCCTGAATTGAATTCAATCCACAATTTCTTATCAGGAGAAATTCTACTTGGGTGGTTAGGCGCATTTTTTCAAAAGAAAATACATAATTTAAAATATCAGAATCTTCTGTTGCTTTTCAAGATCTTTGCGGGTGAAAGGTGGCTTAAGAGATAAATCCGTATAATTAGTTATTTAAGTATAGTAGAATTAGTCTGGAAATATTTTGTCAGATACTGAAATATCTTAATATTTTCTACATAAGAGAATTTCTCAGTTTTTTTGGCTTTTTATTTAAAAAAAAAATTAATTAGCATATTCACTAGTTTAAATTGTCCTTTCGATGTTAAAAAAAAGACATGATTCACATTTTGTATCTTTTTTTGAAATTATTTCAATTCCTATACTTACACTTATATTTTGAAATTAGTATTTCAGATAATATTAAAAAATCCCTTTAATTAAACAAAACTAAAAATCTTAAATTTCCGCCACCACATTATTAAAGTTCATATAAAAAGCGAATTGTACTTTAGAGCTACACATGGCGCAAAAGACACAAAATTTGAATCTTTAAGGAGATTGAATAAAGCGAAAACAATTTTTACTTTTGTCGTAAAAAATAATAATAAAATCACATGTTGAATCAGCTACACAGCAAATATGCTCAACTGTCATCAGTTTAACAATATTCACCTGTCTATTTTTTTTTCCATACATTCTGAAGGGAAAAAATTTTTCATTAAATATTGTCCATATGAGGTTAATATTTAGAAAATTAAATAATCAAATACAATTATACTATACTGGTTTAAATTTGTCATTTTTTTTTTCATTTATGAACAGGGTTTGTTAATTTCTTTCTTACAATCTGATACATTTCTTTTGTTATTTTAAAAATCAAAAGAAAAAAAAAAGAAATCACAATTTTAAATTTAAATTATGGTTTGGTAATTGAAACTTTGTTCTAAAAGTTAAAGTATTCTTTAAATTCTCTATTTCATCTAGTCTTTAAATTTCAATCATGCATTTGTTTCAAAATGGTTACTATGCATTCAGAGCTACGTTTTGTAATAAAAAATTGTTTTAGGTAGTTAGAGTTTCTAAAATATTCTTATAATATAGTTTTAATATTAATTTAATTTTGATTAAACAATTATAATAATGTTTCTTTAGTCATAAATCAAAGCTCTTACAGTGTATTTGAATAAAAAAATCCGATTTAAAATTAAAAAAAATCAGATTTTTTCGATTTTTTTTAAAACAAATCAAAAAATTACGAGCCCCGTTCATGAATCATTGTAAAGAAAATTTTAGTAGTATGGCACTTTTAGAGTATTTAATACAATTCAATACAAAAGTAATATGACAGAATTAGGAGAAATTTCATAAGAGAAAATTTATTCAAAATATTTAATTTAACGTCTACTTACTCCTAAAATAATGAAAAATAAGCTTATTTTGCATACAATGTGAATTTTCTTTAAAACAATTAGTTACATTTCCTCAACACTTGTTTCAAAGTCACTAGAATCACTGTTTAGTGAAATTATAAAGTTTTGGTTTTCAAAAACGTCTTCCATGAGTCCATCTATTTCCCACAATTCATCCTCCACTGAATTAACGTGATTTATACAGTTTACCCAATTTTGTGAAGTCACGTTGTTCATAGCTTGTATTACAAGAGTTTTCACATCATTTAATTTAAAAGTCCTATTTTCTCGAGCAACATTTCCTTTAATTTGACTCCATATCAATTCAATTGGATTGAGTTCACAGTGATATGGAGGCAGCCTTAAAACTGTATGTCCATAACTTTCGGCAATATCTTCTACGCGGTATCTGTCAAACAGGTGCTTGTTTTCTGCCACCTTTTGCAAAAGCTCTACTTTGATCATATCTTGATCCCATCCAATATTTTTGCTTGATAGCCACTCTTGAATCGAGGATTTTTTCCAGGAACTAGTCGGAATTCTCTCCACTTTGACTGAGTGGTAGGAAGCATTGTCCATAACAATCACACTTTTCTGTCTCAGTTTCGGTAAAATTTTTTTGAACCAATTTTCGAAATGATTGCCGTCCATTTCTTCATGGTAATCACCACTTTTTTTTCCAATGAATATATCAGCAGCACCTGAAACAAATCCTTCTTCACTTCCAATATGAGTGATGATGAGTCTTCTTCCTTTTCCTTTGGGTTCAGCTAAACCAACGGTCAAATTCGATGATGAAGCTTCGTAGCTCGTTTTGATCGTAGTATCTTGCCATGTTTTACTGGGGAAATGGCCTTCATTAACCCAGGTTTCATCCAGGTAATAAATTGGAACATTTTTCCTCTTGTATTCTTTAATGCGACGCAAATAATTTCGCCGCCACAAAATTATATCGTTTCTCTCTATGAGAGAAGATTGTCTTTTTCTTTTCTCGAAAGAAAATCCCAAGTCTTTGAGTATCCGATAAAGAGTTGTGCGGCCAATGTTCTTTTCAACTATGTCTTTATCACCATTAATTTCCTTTAAGACCTTGTCCAAAGTCGGCACTTCATTTCGACGAAAAAAAGCATGAATTTTTCTGCGAATGCAGCACAACGTAAAATCATCGTATTTCACGAGTCTTGTTCGTTTACCTACAGCTCCAGGTCTTTTTTTTCCAGGTGTACTCAAAGGACTGGATGTCTTTTTTTCATTTTTCAAACGATAAACAGTTCTTTTTGAACAGCCAGTAAGGGCAGCAACTTTGTCGCATATTTGAGTGATGCTTTCACGTGGACTTTCTTTTCTTAGCTGTGAATAAACATTTAAAATGTTTCTGCGAGCACCACTTTTTATAATTTTTCCACGCTTTGATGGCGTAAACATCTTTGTCGGTGATAGTCCTGTCTCTGACATTCTTAAAACGTTAAAAAAAAATAAGTAAAGAATTTAATTACTATTAATAATTAAAAAAGGAAAGCAAGCTAAAGATTAATAACTTACAAAAAAAAAAAAGCTATCGATTACTAAGTAACAAAATAATACAAACTAACAAAAAAACATGCTAACATTTAGTAATTAGCAACAAAAAAAGAAGAAAAAAATTTAACAAGGAATCACAAAAAAAAATTAACAATTAATACAAAAAAAAATTAATAACTATAAAAAACGTGCTAACATTAAGTAACTAGTAAAAAACAACAAATTAACAATTAATGCAAAAAAATTAATAACTATAAAAAACGAGCTAACAATAACTAACCAGTAAAAAACAACAAATTAACAGTCAATAACTAATAAAAAACAAAACAAAAGAACAATTAAGCGAAGCGAGTAAAAGAAAGCGAAAAAAGAACTGCACAAGAGATAGGACACTTAAGCAAAGGCGAAGAGAACGGTACGAGCTGGCTGACCAGTGTTAAAACTTAGCCAACGCGCCAATTCCTTGGCCTTGAAAACTAATCCAGCGCCAAATTCAAACCACTCCCTCTTTTTTGTACATTCGCTTTACTGAGAAGGTATTTATAAGTTAAATACATTTAAACATGAAAAACTTCGAATGTATGATTCAAGATAAACTTTTCTTACTATACAACATTTATTTATATTTGAACGCCTATTTAAACTGCAATTAATTCCAAAATAGAGAAGAACTACTTTTCAAAGGCGGAGTATTACATATCCTACCTTTCCCTGCAGTGCCAACTTAAGGTGGAATGGAGTATAAAATATTTTCTTTAACTAACTCCTTAAAAATACTTCACGTGAAGAAAAAAAACTAAATCTCCTCTCTTCATTTCTATAAATCTCTTATATACTTCTTAATCTCACTAATTACTATTCTTTCTAATACATATCTTACAACTACTTTTCTTATTTTCAAAAAATAATCATTTTTAGTACTTATTTCCACAAATATATTCATTTTTAGACCTAAAAAATTAAAAACTCACTTTTTTAAAAACATTTTTGGCATCATTGCCACTTCTCATTCTTTGTGACTACATGTCACTACAACCTTTATAAAGTATAGACATCTTTATAAAATACAAACATTAAAATATCAAGTAAAAAAAAAATACAATTCAAAATATAAATTCCACTTCACCTTGGACACATTTGTATCTTTAATTTGGAATTTAGGATTCCGATATTTTTAAAGGGAATTTGCTTGATAAGGGACTCAGTTCCTCAACAGGAGGAAAACAGCCCCGAATCACAGCAATCAGTGTTATGGAAGATCCTGGCAACCTTAATTGTGTCATCATAATTATATGCATTTGTGGTTTAATATTTCCACAAAAACAAAAGAAGGGGGAAAAAAACTTTGCCCTCATAACCAGTTATCTCAGGTATGGGTAAACACTACGCTGGTTTTTATAATTTAAGGGTAGGATCTTCCAGAAAAGGGGGTAATATTTCTTATCATCATCATCAATATTTATGAGAGTCCAGGATTATTTTTAACAAGTTACAAAATTCATCATTTCTTTCTTGAATAATTCTTCTCTCTAATATTATTTATGACAGTTCAGGATCATTTTTAATAAATTGCAAAATTCAATTTTGTCTTATTATAAAAATACAAAAAATATCAACTGAAATTGACTAATATTTACATAAAATGTATTTTTAATTTTTACCTTCTGGTGTTAAATTAAATTCTTCAGCAGGATAAAAATATCCTAATTTGGAAGATTGAACGATTTTCAAATATATACAGAGCATTTTCAAATACACTGAAGAGCCAAAAAAACTGGTATACCTGCCTAATATCGTGTAGGGTACCCGCGAGTACGCAGAAGTGCCGCAACACGACGTGGCATGGATTCGATCAATGTGTAAAGTAGTGCTGGAGATAATTGACACCATGAATCCTGCAGGGCTGTTCATAAGTGGGAGTAAGAGGGGGCGGGGATATCTTCTGAACATCACGTTGGAAGGCATCCCAAATATATTCAATAATGTTCATGTCTGGGGATTTTGGTGGCCAGTGGCACTCTTCTGAATTTAGACTTTTCCGCTGGCCACCAAAATCCCCAGACATGAACTTTATTGAACATATTTGGGATGCCTCCCAACGTGATGTTCAGAAGATATCCCCACCCCCTCTTACTCTCACTGGTTTCTGGACAGCTCTGCAGGATTCATGGTGTCAATTATCTCCAGCACTACTTCACACATTGATCGAATCCATGCCACGTCGTGTTGCGGCGTTTCTGCGTACTCGCAGGTACCCTACACGATATTAGGCAGGTATACCAGTTTTTTTTTGGTTCTTCAGTGTATATACAGCCTTGTATATCGTAATGTATTATAGTATTATTTTAAATTTTGATTATTATCAAATCAGTTATGCAGTAAGAAATGCTGTATTCAAAGAAGTTTTGTGAAATGTAAAAAAAAAATGTATTATATAGTATTTTTTCTTTTCTTTTTTTTTTTAAATTTTTATCATTTTCAAATGTATATAGCATGTTTCTTTAAATCTGCAACGTATTACAGTTCGAATTGATTTAGTTAGAATTTTTGATTGACTTTATTTTTTATTGATAGTGAGTACAGACTTTTACTTAAAATTCTAAGTAAATTTTTTGTTATTACAGAGAGTTTCTTAAATTTTGTTTGCGATGCAATTATTGGGGCTTGGCGAGCGGTAGCGAGCAGGGGCTCTGCCCCCTAGTATATATACATAATCCCCTGGGTATTGTAAAATGAGTTACAGCTTTGCACTACTGTAAAATAATTGCATTCATTTCCATTTGCTGCTTTGGAAATAAGAAAAAAATTGCAGTATTTTCGTGCATAAATTTTAGCTTTTATTTCATTATAAAAGGCTTAGAAAATTTGTTCCATTTGACTAAATTGCTATCACACCAATGTTAGAAAAAATCATTCTGTTTTTAAAATATCATCACACAAATATAATTGGAAACCAATTCTTATTTTCCTCAAGGTAGAGAGTCATTCAGTTTGAAGCAAATAATTCTGTAATATTTTAAATAAACAAATAATAATAAATAAACTAATGATCAGATGTCTTGAATTCTTTCTTGGCTCCTAATTATTTTGTAGCGCCAGTCACTTTTTTAAAAACTTTGCCTTTCGCAGTTAAATATTCATTTGCAACTCTTAATATGTAGACTTTTGTGTGTGAATATTTTGTGATTTTAGTTTTATACATTCATTATCAATGTATTATGAATTCTCATATCCATCAGTTTTGAAATGTTTCCAATAAATTAGGATCCACCCAGAATAAAAAGCCCTTATCAACTGTTATCCGCATAAGAGTGACATAGAAACCATTTTAGTATATTTTAATAATTTGAAATTTAGGAAGATAAAAAAGCTGATACTGGGGAGAAAAGTAAAAATATTCCTAATCTAGAAAAATATTTATTCTCTGAGCGATCATGACTCATGATTGATCAAAACTCCTCATAAATAATGTTTGTATGTTACAACATATTCTCCATACCTGTTAAAGAAGATTGCCAAACTAAAGAACACAACTTTAAATTTTTTTTTAATTAATAATTTGAAGGATAAAATGGCAGTGATTTAAGGTCTTCAGCAAAATCTTGTTATGTTGAGGATATTTAATTTATTACATAATTGATTTGATTGGAAATTATTTTATCAAAACCAAGCGAATAACAATTACCTAACGATGGATGGATCAATTCCAATGGACTTGCTCTGAATGATGTCTTTCAGCAGCTGACGGTAAAAATCATCATCATCAAATATTTGGGGATCATAATCTTTGAGTAGTAAGTCTTGCTTTGAGGTGATATCCTATCAAAAACTGAATATTAGCAAACATAATGTATGTACAATGAAAAAATTACATTTATAACATCTTGATGTCACTAAAATGCATTTAATAATTTTTTTAATTAAATTTTAAGTAACTTATCTTCTTATCAAAGTGCAATTTTGAAAAGTGGAAGAATAAGGATAAGGTTTAAGGATAAAAAGTGCTACTTTTTATGATGGAATACACAAACATTGATAAGGTATTATGCTGACATTCAGAACAAATGATTTTGAAAGCTCATTATTCCTTTTGACCCCATCAATAGTAATTAATATTTTGATTTTTTATTTCTACTTAGGTAAATCTTCTTGATTTGAAAAGTTTTGAAATACACAAAATTTTCTATATAGTTATTTATTTATTTATTTTTTGCCTGCAATTAACAGAAATAAAAGGAAACATTGTTTATTTCATATAAATATTAATGTATTTCCCACATTAGCTAAGAATTTTTATTTAAAAAGTTATAAATATTTCTTCTTTCCTTTTTCTTTAATTTAGCATAGTAAAAAATGTAAAGCATAAAAGTATTTCTTCTTAAAAAAAAAAGAAGAAAAAAAGCAAAATAGTTCACATTGGTAATTTATTTCAGAAACATTATTTTTACGGGCTAATTTGTGAGAAAAAAAAACACTTTTCATTATACTTTATATAATGCTGATGTTTGCAGATTAGGTTAAAAAGTTGTTTGCCAGCACACAATTTTAAAACTTTTTGACTTTCCACTTGTATTATTATTTAACAACCTTGATTTGTGATGCTATACTAAAGAATATTAAACTAATTGAATATACAACTAGGAAATATTTATTAAAACAAAATTTTTCAGAGAGATAAGCTTAAAGAGAACTTGTATATTCAGCTTTAAAAATTAGATTTATAAAATTTTGGGACTAATTTATATAGAAATTAAGCTAATTTTTTTTAGAAATTTAGAATTGAATACAATTACTTGATAGTGCCTTGGGAGAAAACTTCAATGATTAAAAAATTGGAAGCAATTTTCTTTTACTAAATTAAATAAAAAAAAAGTAAATAGAAATTTGAAAGATAAAAAGCCTTACGATTGCTGATTTCCCTGGACTCACTTGGAAATGCTTAATTTGTGAATGATCCCTAGTTCAATGAATGTGGTATTAATCTCTAAATAGAGCAATGTGCTAACAATATCAGTCTACAGGTGAAGCAAACCATGTGAAGGGGCGAAGGTATAAGGTGAGGTAAAAAATCGGAAAACTTCACAAAATACCGGAGAGTGGGCATATTGTAGTATAATAATCTTCCCCACTGACTTTAACTTGTTTAGATATTTTCCACTGAATTTCAAGTGTAAGGATGTTTCCTACTGAATTTCACTTGTAGGGATGCAACTAGTGCATTTGCATGTATGTGTGAATAATTTATCCACTATGCAAAATTATTGCCACATTCATACGATATGTACACCCCACTGTCAAAACAGACTCAGCATGAATAAAGAGGTGGTGAAAATTACTTTTTGAGTAGTTAGTGGTAATAATCAGTATGACATAGAAAAAATAACTTTTATAAAAAAGAAAATATGATTTTAAAAGACCCTTAAAAAATGAAAATTAAAAAGCTGTAAACACTTTTTAATAATAACATGCACCCTGGTTTATTCAAACTGCTAGTAATCTGTTTTTTTATTTATTTAAACATAAAATAAAATCTAAACTTGTCAAAATAGCAAAAGAGTTTTGAATACACATTTTTGGCAATTCGAATAAATTAAAGCAGTGATTATGCCACATTTATATATTTAAAATAAAAATTTATATATTTCACAAATTTTTTTAGCGTAATTACTATTTATTATTAAGAAAAATTTTCTGAATTCATACTTCAATATTAGATTCATTGCTTTTGAGCTCTGAAAATTCTGGTTTTCCAAGGACTCGATATACAGATCTTTTCAATTGAGTTCGCTTTATTAATCTTGTTCTATCTTGTAGAATCTAGAAGATAAAAGAAATATCAACATTAACCAAGGAGAAAATGACACTTATTCAGCAGCAAGGATATATTTTTTTAAACAAATGCATAGTATATTAGTTATTATACTCAGTTACATATATATTTTATGTGATAAAATATTTATCGACGCCAAAACTTCAGAATTATTAGTTTTATATTGATTATATAAATATAAAAATAAAGATAAAACTTGCATCAAAATATGAATAAGTACGGTAAGTTAAAGTGCTCTTAATCTTACAGGGGAGAGGGGAGAAGAAAATACTCAGAATTTTAGGTTACTGCAGTTAGAAATTTGCAAAAGAAAAGAAATGGAAAAATGAAATCTGATTATTATTTTCTCAAATCTGTTCTGGTATTCTTTTCTCGAAATTGTTCTCTTTTTTGCTTATAAGTGCAGGTCAATATATATGAGAACAACAGACACAAAACTGGCTAATTGATTTCTTGGACTCAAATGAAGAGAATTTACTTGGAAAATAAAAGAAATGTAATATTATTCTTCGAGAGGCAGTTTGAATTTATGTAAGCATTTAACAAGTCAGCAGTTTACATTTCATATTTTTCTGTAAGGGTAGGCTATGAGCCAGTGCTTGTGTAAGACATTGACAGACGTGCCAACCTAGCAAAATTAACATTCAGGAGTTTCCCTAACAAGAATTCAGGAGATATCAGGAGGGGTAAAAAAAGGTACACGGTATGCAACATTTGACACTTCTAAGGAATTTTAAGTAAAAAATTTATTAAATATAAGAATGCAAGAAATTTTACACACTAATAGAGCACAAACTGTGGAAAAATATTAAATGGAAATAAAATAATTAAACACAGATTTAGCAACACAAAACTATATTAGGTAGATACTCTTAATTTAAAAAATAAATACCATTTCCTTAATAAAACATCATTCAAAAAACCTTGACACTGTAATAATAATGCACAAAAACTTTTAAAAAATAAACAAATTGAAGAACTATTTTTAAAAAAATCAATTCAATACTAATGTATAATAATACTAATGTCTGTACAATAGAGAACCAATTATCCGGGATGCTTGGGACCATTGCTATCCCGGATGTCTTAATCTCCCGGTTTTCTGGATCGACCAAAAAGTGTCGTTAATCGATGTTTTATCGAGCCAAAATTGCAAGGAAAAAGTGTAAACACATTTTAAAATAAGAGAAAAAATAAAAGCACTCCTAAATCTAAAAAGGAAAAAAATTGTAGAAAAATAACATTTAAAAGAATAAAAAAATTTGCAAGTTTAGACAAGAAAAACAAGTTTAAAAAATAATTACAATTCCTAAATTAACTAATAAACAAAACCAATGATTAAATAACGCAATATATTTCATACCTAATTATAAGGGGGGGACGATAAAACAAAAGGTAAACTTACTAATCTAAATCATAACAACACTTAAAAATTATCGAACCGAAATGATAGTTAAAAAAAAAAGGCACTAGCATAAATATTAAAACCTGGAACAAGGCAAGATCAACGGAATTAAAAAAAACAAACAAAAAAACCTAATGATAAAATTTAGGAATAAAAATAATTTATTGAGTGCAAAATTTATCATGAAAAGGGGAAAAAAATCAAACGTAGTGGAATCAGAAAAACAAAACTGCAATCTGCTTCATAAAATAATTGTATGTTTAAATTAAAAAACAATTCTCCTTTTATTTATTTACTTTTAATAAAAACACGATTTTTAATTAAAGCAGGCGTGATTCCACATCAAGAAAAACTTGCGAATGATACCACACTTCCAAAGAATCAGAATTTATAAAAAAAAATAATAATTTATTTCTATTAATCGACGTTAAATAGATAAATACATTCTTCTCTTTCATCTTCTGCATGTGCAATGCATTTTCCCCACCCCCTCGTAAATCAAACAGAAAACGAAATCAGCATGCCACTCTTTTGAGTTTGATTGACGGCCGAAAGGAGAAAATAAAGATCTAAAATCTTCAAGGTCGCGGAAGAAATGACGCTTCTCTGGGTAAACGGCGAAAAAAATTCTCCCCTTCCTCACATTTTCTTCTACTCAACTTCAAGGATGAGTCCAATTTCCGTTTTTTTTTTTCATATCGTTTTAGTTTAAAATGGCGGGAGAGCGGAGCAAAATCCCCCCCCGGATTATCTAGATACCGTATGCATAAAAAAGAGTTGCAGATTTAGCTCTTTGCAATTAAGTCTTGCTAAAGTAATTGGTACATGATTTGTTGAAATTGGTTGCATACTTCCGTTTCGACTTAGACATCCTTGGGAAAAAAATTTATTTTTAATATACGAAGACTAAACAAATAATGTTGCCAATCGTGGAAAATACGCATTAAACGCTATAAAATCAGCAAGATACAATATCAATTCCAACTATCGAGAGTACGAGTTTCCCCACTCCTGTACGGACGTCATTCGATATCGTCATGTGACGTCATCGCATTCAACTCCACACGAAAGGAGAGGAAGATTCCTATGAATCCCAGTGTAAGGGGTCAGGTGAAATAGGAGTGTTAAAGAGGGGGGAAAATAAAGCACATACAGCTACGCTTCAGGCAGATGGTAGTTCGATAAGAGGGGATGGAATTCACGCTGAAAGAAAAACAAATCTTACGCACTCGCGGAAAAATTATGTAATTTTGAGTTTGGCCGTTGATTGCAGCAAAATTCGGGAGCTTTTCGAATCAATTCCGGACGGCGGGAGAATAACTCAAAATTCGGGAGAGTTGGCACATCTGCATTGAATTCTGTTTATTGAGGATAAAATAATGGTATTTTGAAAATAATCCCTCAAGTAAGCATAAGAGGGAAGGGAGTAACATTTGTAAAACTAAATAATATTATTACACAATATCTTTTTAAATGAATTTCTTTTAAACGTGAATTATTCTTATTTAACAGATGTTATGAAGCTGGTATAAAACAATTGTTTTCACGGTTTTGTTTATTTTTATTTTAGTTTCGTTACTTATAGTATCTGATTTCAACTGTATAAGTTTCTTAAAGGAAACTATTGCAAAGAAATAAATAAAACACAGAAAATTTTACCTGTTCAATCTGTTTTACTGCTGAGTTGTCAAAGGCATTGAATGATTTTTGAGTCATACGCCCTGTGGATAGTCGAACTTTTTCATCCCATTTTTGAATTATACTGTTTCTGAAAGAAATATATATATATATATACGTATATGATACAATATCAGAAAGCACTCTGTTTTGCGGATATAATCGTGTAGGCTGATGAAAAGATTATATCTTTTTTTCCCCGGTTTTTTTAAATAAAATTTCATGTTTTTTTTTTAAACTGTTGTTTGTTATTTTTTTACTTATTATTCCCCCCTTTTTTTTCATATGTCTATAATTTTNGGAACAAAGCAATCCATATATTTTGTTTCATAGTTGATTTCTTTTAATATTACTTTTTGAAATTTAATTACACTTATCAGACAAATAAATAAAACCAAATTCACACAAAACTGGATGTAAGAATATATGAATTAAATGCCTAAAAAGTTATGAATGTAAAAAAAAAGTTTTAAATTTTGAAAGAGTAAGTAATCAATAAAGGGAGACCGCTCTTTGTTAAACAAAAATTCGTCAAAAAAGAATTAAATAGAGACAGTATTTCAAAACAGCATAAAATGTGGTAGACCAAACAAACAATTTTAAAAATAGATAATTACTGTTTATTTTATTTCTATAGTGCCAAGATAAGCTGTAATTGAAGAATTCGTTTATCAACTGGATTCTGTTCTCTATAACTTTTTGATTAATTAATGGTGAGAAAACCAAAAAAAGAAGAGGAATAATTTACATTTAAAAACCAATAATTGAACATAAAAATTCTTTTTAGAGAAATATATAGAATTTCTGTCACACTCGCTCAGTGAATAGAATATCTCTCCAAAAGTGGACATTAGTAAACTTTATAAAGAAGAAAAAAAGAAAACTCCAAATCTACTTTTGATACACAAATTACATTTCTAAAAGCAAAGACAATGCACCTACTTCGACGGGTCAGCTTTATGAGTTATTTGTAATATGCCTCCCTATTAAAGCAGAATGTTTTGTGACAGTTGTTATCTGATCTAAACAGCATTGAGAATTTAACATGAAGTTCTTGCAATTACCAAATGCCCTGATACTTGGTTTCGGAAGAAACTGTAGTAAGCAGGCACAGTCGTCCCCACTTATTCGCATATCGGATAATCGAATAACCAGCTTATACGAATAAAAATTTAATAGAACCAACTCATTTTATATAAAGTCAATGTTAAACCTCTCGTTTAAAAGAATATTTGTTGTTTTTTGTCCTCGCCTAATTGCATAAAATAGTGGTACTGAAATGAAAAAAAAAAATTTTTTTTTGAGAAATGTTTCACCATTTAAAAAGGAATTTCTGTTTTTTAGTTAATAGATGATTACTTCAAAAGGGACATCATGTTCATTGCTTGGTCTAAAGAGGTGTTAGGGGTAAAGTTGAAGAATTAATAAAATCTTGCTGCTTATTATACATTGAAGTAAACGAAGGGGGTTTTATCCCTCGTTGAGTTACTTCACTCACACATCATTTAGAACATAAAAAAATACAGATTGTTTTTTGGTCAAGACTTGTGGTCCCCTCTTGCTGCGCTATGAGCTTTGAAAAGAAAAAGTTTCAAAAATCTAACACATTAGTGTACAATGTGTCTTTCTCTTAAGTAGAATAATCATTGCTTATTTCAGTGAATAATGGTTGCAAGTTGTGCACAAAAAGGAATGATTTGAATTAATCGAAGGGGAAAAAAATGAATCTTGGAAACAATAAGTTTCAGAAACTCCCAAGCTATTGTAAAATAGGGCATTAATTCGAGTTTCGAGGATTAGAAAATAATAAATAAGTAAAAATGAAAATTCTGAATATATTTGAAAGGAATACACAAGTCATCAAAGTCTTAGTAGAAACTGAAAGGGAATATCTAATTTTGATAAATTGAAGAATTAAAACGGGTATAAAAACAATCTTCAATTATAATCTTTTTCGGAAGGGATCAAATAATGTTTTAGTACCTATATTTTACTTTTCTCTAACATTAATTTATTTTTATGTAACCTTAAATGACATTCATATTTTATGGTACTAACATATACAGTTTTAATTATGATTATTTATTGATCATAAAAGTAAAATTTTGCAAAAATATAGAATTTAAGATTGAATATTGAATCGAAGATTGAATCGAATAACCCGCTTAATTGCATAGATTTGGCTGGAACCAATGGCATTCCTTTAAGTGGGGTTGACTGTATATGAAAAAGTACTTCTGCAATTCATAATTATTAGCTGCAGTGACAGAATTTCACTTTGAGACATTATCTATTCTGTCACATGGCGTATCATGTCTGTTATGAAAAAGAACAAAATGTGTGCAATGTTATCAGAACACCAAACTCTAAATAAATTGATAAAATAGCACATTACCATTGCCAGCTAAATTTATATGAAACATTACATTAAAAGACACTAATAGAGTTTTATACGGGTTTTTTTTATAGCAAAGAGTTACTTTCTTTTTCTATATATTTCTAACCATGCCAAAAGTTTGAAGATTAGCTTTGTGAATAGACGGGTGTACAACTTTTTTGAGTGAAGGGCCACATGCACAGCAGATTGACCAAAAAAAGAGCACATGCCAAAGTATCGTAGGTAGTAATTGTTATATAAACATCATTGTTCTAGGCACGAAATTTTTTTTATTAGTTAACCTTGTAATATATTTGCATAAAATTAAGTACTTTTAAATGTTTAAAATTAGAAACTGCAAAACTGATTATTTAGAAAATAAAACAGAAGCAGAATCAATTTATCAGGAAAAAAAATTCAGATAAATTGAAATATTCATGTTTTTTTATTGCATTACATAATACAAAAATCTATCCAATATTAAAAAATATGTTGATATATGTTATAATATATGTTGATATATGATATGTATAATATGTTGATATGTGTAAATATGTTTGATTTGAAGAAATACTAAATACTTTGATTTAAAGTAAGTTTATAGGGTTAAAAATGATTAAAATTCAAAAACTATTATTAATTTATTATCCTTAAAACATTTATTTAAATAAAATATAAGAGGCTTCAGGGTTCTTAATTAATATTTTGTTTCATCGTATTGAAAATAGATTAATTTTCCATAAAAATTTATGTCATTTTGTTACAAAAATTAAAATTGTTTTTTTTACAAATCTACCTTTAACATACGATCAACTTCTGAATCAAATAGTTAATTAATTAACACAATGTAGAATAAATTTTAGAATATTTTCGATATGTAGGGAAGTGAAGCTTCTAAATGATTTTATGGCCGAATACAATTTCCATCTTTTGAAATAACTCTACAACAAAATACAAAAAATAATTAAAACTGAAATCTGTTGTTACTGATATGCTAAATAGTTTCCTTTCACACTTACCTGAATGCTTTTTCTATTTCAAACTGTTTAGATAGAATGTCACTATAATTTTCGTTTTTATATTTTCTTTTGACACCTTTTTTCATGTTAGTTTCTCCTTCAGTAACTTCTTGAGTTTCATGTTCTTCATCGCTATCAGATGGAATTTCCATTTCTTCAACACTAAGAGAACAATATAGTTCAAGTTATAATAGAGAATTGATAACACAAGATCAAAAACAAACTAAATCTTAACAAAAAGTCTCATTCAGAGAGAAAATAGAAAAAGTTGAGAAAAATCACACAAAAAATAATAACAATATAAATGTTTCACAAAAAAAAGTATAACTTTAGTTGTTCATAAAGTAAAGTTTAAACTCCTTCGGGACTTAAAAAATAATTGAATACCTATTAGAAACATCAGTTGTTGAAAATTATGTAAATAGATAGAAGCCAAATCAGTAATGGATAGAAAAATTTTACGAAAAAGCAAATAAATAGAAAAATAATAACAGTATTAGACAACATACCAATATATAAAAGCTTATTTCTAGAGGGGGAAAATTATTATAATATTACCTCAATTTAAATCTCAACAAATGAAATCTAGGTCATACTGCATGCTGAAAATGAAAACTACAATATCAAGGTCAAATAATTATTTACTTTAATGCTTATTTTTGTGAGATTTTTTACTGAAATTTTTATTTTTCAAATTATTTACTAAAATTTAAATTAATTTAGGAAAACTGACAATGTATTTTAGTTTAAAAAATTTTTTCTAGAAAACAATCATAAATAAAATTTATAGTTTCAGATACTCTTAATTTGTAGGTTGTTTTATCAATATTTTATATTATGATGCTAACTCTTAAAGGAAAAAAATTTTTTTTTTCCATAGCACTAATTTATAACTGTAAACAATGGATTTTTTTTAAAAAAGGAAGATTTTAAAAGCTAACTCACAGTGTTCCTGTGAGCATCATTAAAATTGATTAAAAAATAGATAATTAATAAAATAACTCAAATAATTTCCATATTTAACTAAATGTAATATGGTACATAAAATGAATTTTAAACCACTAAACAAACATTTAATACATTTTTGTAAAATTTAAAGTAAATAACAATTAAAAGAGTTAAAAAAAAACAGGCACACAGAATTACAGATTATGTATGACAAATACAAAATTTTTAAAAATTTGCAGTAGTTTTTTAACCATTGATAAGTGCAAGCATTTGAATTCTTTTTAAAAAAAACTGGTAATGAAATTACACTTTAAAACACTTTTTTGGCCTACTCATGTCCAGTGCCAGTTCATTTTCTCTTCTTTAACTGATTCTATTATCTGAATTTGAATTGACTGAATTTGAATTGATTTGAATTTCTGAATTTGAATTGACTAGTTGCAATTTATACATAGCTAACTACTTTTCCTCATCAGTTGCTAACAACACAATAGAATATCTTTCAATGAAAAAATTTTATGTTAGTAAATGAAGCATCACGACCATTTCTACTATCAGCATGGCACAAAATCTAATTTTGAAGAGGAAATTTTAACCACATATAATCACATATTGTACAGAAATATTTTTTGACAACTTAAACACAATCTGGGAGTGTTTCCACTAGTTCTACAGCAGAATTGCCAACAATCAAATCCAAGTTGTTTTTCTGATAACAAGGAATATTGTAGTTCCCACCCAAATAAAAAACCTGTAAAATACTAGGTTTAACAAATATAAGAATATTATCCTTCATAAAACTTGGACTGACCTAAGAACATGAATTTGAGGTGAAATAGTGTTAAGAGTGCCAAATAAATAGAGAACATTCAAAAGAAATAAACAATCAGCCGTATTTAAATTATTTGAAAGAAAATAAAAAATCCTCTCTTCTCGAATAAGGATACCAGAAGATCCTTTTTCAAAATTACATATCTCATCGACTCCTTGTACTTACTTGAAAACTGTAGATATGCAGCTTGAAGATTTAATATATTTAGAACTTTCATTTTGACATTTTTTAGGAATTTTATAGACAGATAAAGATGAACTACTGGTCAATCTTTAAAAAAACCCATTAGTGTTTGCCACTGTTTTGTGAGACTTTATCGACCGACAGAAAACAAGTAAAAGCGTGCCTCAATATTTATTATTATTTTTTTTTATTTTAGTGTCATGCAATTCTTGAAACTCCTTTAAGTTAATCTTTCTTTTTAGAATTTTTCTCGAGATAGTACACATCAATGAGAAGCTTGTTAATCCTAAAAGGAAATATTGCTAAATATTTCCCTGCAGTTTAGTTTAGAAAATGGTAACAACAACCTAGCAATGCTATATTTTTATTCCCTTCCCGTAATACATGTCACACCTAAGTTTTGTTCCCCCACCAACGTGCATTGACACAACTTAATGTGATGCAATTAGCAATTGGTATTTCAAGTGATTTTAAGTTAGTTAAAATTAAAATATCCACACCAGTAGAATCTCCTATTAACAATGGCAACGACAATAAGACACATACACTTGAATGATGTAATTCCACACCCAATTGCTGATGTTTTTGCTCTTCTGCACCCATAACTTTTACAAATTTTTGAGTCTGGAAACATTTTTGTGTTGTTGCAATAACTGCCAAGAATCGTTGGCACAACTAATTGAAAAATTATGATTAATAATGAATGCTGTAAATAAACATTCAGCCTTAGTAACAGCTTTATTATTATTTTCCAGACTTTTATTATTCTGAATAGCAACAAAATTTCCTTCGTTTTTTCTTTTTGTACTGACGTGAACTATAATATCAGTACCTTCACCGCGGGAAATCGAGAAACTGATCGACCCAGAACACAAAATTGCTACCTTTTGTTGATTTTAGAATAAAATCAAATACTCTTGACTAACTATCTTTAAAATTTTGTTAATAGCAAGTATTTTTTGACATTGTAACAAGTACGAACAAACGCACAGCTACAAATGAAAACAAAATAAACATATACTAAGTTACCTTTTAGATTCGAATGTTTGATAAAATATTATGCTGGTGTGGAATGATTCGCTTTCACCTTGATCTTCACTGAGAAAATATTATAACTTGTTTTTATATGCGCTTGGTTGATCATGCGATTGAAAGATTCAGGGAATTTGATTAGTGCCTTAGATGCACTAGCTTTTTGATGCTAGTTAAAGTAGCAGTGCAGCTGTGTCGGATTTAACAACAAGATGAAAAAAGGAAGAAAAATCAGAGTTGTCAAAAAGTCGAACATTTCCCGGGTTAGCTACAATAGTTTGCAGCTATGCCAGTTCATACACACACAGATCTCTCCAATTAATTTTAAAAAAAGTATAATTTATTGGGTTGTCCTAAGATAATTCTTTAGAAAAAAAAAATTTTTGGACAGCACTTTTCACAAAGAATATTACTAATACACTATTTTCACCAAATAAAAAAACAACAACATTATTTTCATTACTTTTTGTCTAACATATCAATCTGAGAACTCAACATAGACTTGCAATAAATGAGTTTGATTATCTTGAATATAAGCTTTTGCATGCATAAGCTGAGAGTAAATTATTTAAGAATAAAAAGCTACAGTATCTTGTTACAAGCTACAAACCTTTTCTCGTTCTAAACCTGTTCACCATGATTGGCACTATTATTTCTAAATAACTGACAATGTATGACATATATATGCACAAAATATTATATATATTTTGAGGTAAATATTAAACAATGTTTTATTTTATTTTATTCAATATTAAATACTGACAAACCTTTCAATTTCTTTTTCTGTGCTTTGACCAAGTTCTTGTTTCAGATGCATCAAACTATTTAAAAGAGACTTTACAGAATCATTACCTAAATTAAACCAAAATTCGATAAGAAAACATAAAATAAAATATATTTAATTATGTTTAATAATTTCATAAAGCTATAATACTATAATTTAAAAAACCACATAAAAAGAAATATTAAAATTAAACAATTAATGTGCAAGCATTAAGACTTTGAAAAAAGTTACGTTATGTGAAAGTAGATAGTATAACATCGTAAAATTATTAAAAGTAAATTAACACCTTGAAAATAAATTTTATCATTTTCACAGGCTTAAGAGTAAAAAAATTGGAAATGTAAACCACAAAAAGTTTGAAACATTATATATAAAAACTTTTCTTCTTAGATTAATTTGATAGATTCATAAGATACTTCATTTTTCTTCATTGATTAATTTGATAGATTCATCTGCATATTAAACAATCAAAAATTTAATTTGAAATTCATATAATATTTAAGTTGCAAAATTTTAAGCAATTTGAAACTTTTTATTTAGCTATTGATAATGCTGTTCTAATTGTAAATGAAATGACGTATTCTGAAATAATTCAGATGATGTTGCATCCAGAAATAAAGAAGCAAAAAAGTGATGGCGAAGATGAGGGTGAAGACGATTCTTTTATATCCAACTAATGTTGCATAGAACTAAAAAAACAGCTGAGAGCTGGAATAGAACAAAAAATCACAACCTTTTAATCATTCTTAACTCTTAACCATAAACCAAAATTTTGTCAGTTAAAGTTGAAGAAATATTCAAAAATAAATATGCAAATTTTGTATTTTTAGAAATGTTTTTCTTCTCTTAACTTGTAAAGTTTTCTAAATGCAATAATTTTTTAAAATAACGAGTACTTCTTTTTTGTTCCTTTCCCTTTTTGTTAACACCCATTTTCATATAACATCTATATATGAGCATCTTGTACTTATTATGATTTCTCTAGATTTCCCAAATTATTTCTTCCATGGGTATGTGTGTGTTTATCATAAGAGTTATATCTTTCCCTTCATTCATTTAAGGGATACAAGAACTAAAAAAATACATCTACAGCAAATTATCACTCAAAAGTGAATCCCTTTACTTATGTTCATAAAAATAGATTACCTTTAGAAACAATGTCAGGCACTTCTTCTCCAATTTTATTTCTGATTGAAAGCCAGCTGCTTGTTTGAGGTAACTTATTTGAAACAATTAATAGCTTTTGTAATTTTATCCTGCATTCACAGAGTTTATTCCATATTTCTGGAAAAAAAAATGAAATTATATATTTATTAATTAAAAAAAACTAACTTGAACTATTGGCTATCAGAAATTCTTTTATCGGAATAACTCCATCAAGTGGAGTTGACCATGGGTCTGTCTAGGCTTTTTTGAGAGGTACCTATTTCGTAAAAATGTAGACATAATTTGTGAAAATTAAAAATTAATTAAAATTTGTATTAATTAACACAAAATACGGTAAAGTAAGAAAATATTTTCAAAAATTGTCACTTTGCAAATAAAAATCATTTGACTAGTAAGTTTCTATATATTTCCCCCCATGTATTCAAAAATAATTTTGCTGTGGTAAAATTTAGAACTTAAAATTTTATCCAAATAAAAAAATTATTGTCCATAGTTAAATTTCAACTTCAATTTAATAAAAACATGCACTTAACAGTATAAGCACTAAAAGTTATTTTCATTATGAGAACAATTTTGACTAAGTCACAAAAAAAGTTTCACAGAGAAAAAAATGTTTCCTAAAAAAATAAAGGCCTGTTAGAATAAATTTAGAATAACGTTTAAGATAGTGTTTGAATGTTTAGAATAATGTTCGAATTTCGACTTACTGTAAATCTTATAAGAGGGAATGCCTCCTCGTTTTATTTTAAAAGCTTGCTTTGATATGACGTAAGCAACCAGTTAGGTTTACATCACTGCACAATCTGACCAAGCACATGCTACCTATTCGTAGAAAACAGCTGGTGAACTCAACTTTTCCATAGATTGCAATGAGAACAGTAGTTGCATGGTACTAGTGCAGTTTCTTCCACCTCAATTAAGGAACAAAGCGGCTGATGCTTTTATCCCGTGGCGCTTTGGGATTCCACCATGCTCTCAGCCAGGCATGGGGAGGAAAAGAGCTCTTCTTACAAGCTGGGTGGAAAGCGAATTCTTCTACTACGCCAGAATGGCAATCCACAGGACAGTTCAATAGAAAGTCGAAATGTGTAATTAACCCGGGATTTATTGTTTTTTTTAAGGGGGATACAAAAACAAAATGTTAAGAGGCGGAGAGGAAAATCTTAGAACATGCTTTTTTAAAAGTATTTTGTGAAACAGCAGTTTTTCCTAAAGTTGAATTAGTGAAGGAACCACTAAACGGTAGTAAATTTGCCCTGGACAGGCTGTTGAGCTGACACAAAAGTACCTTTTCTTTTCTCCCTTTTCCATTATACAGGTGACAAGGAATTACTATGACAAATACAAAGTAAAATACTATTGCAAATCACATGAACTATACGTCCAATTTAACATGAACAAATACTACTCATATTTATTGAATTTTTAAATTAACCTTATGCTGATTTTTTCCCCATTGCTAGCACAAAGATTTTTTTGAAGATGATTAAGTCTACTAAGGTTTATCACAAAGCATACCAGCCAACATTGGCAAAATAAAATAACAGAGATTTTACTAGAGAAATTTCTTAGGCTAAAAGTAAGGTTTTGATATATCATGCATAATCATGTAAGTCAAAAAGAGAAATTCAAAATTAGAAATGATATGTAAATACTTACATTTAGTGAAGAAAAAAATATGTAAATAAATATAACTCTAAAGAAGATTTTTTTAAAACCAGTATTTATAATTACTTAAATTAACACCCAACATCAATACTGGCAATAACACCATCTGTTGAGAAATAAATTAAGTATTTTGGCCACCAGCAGATATTTTATCACCAAACTCTTTTTTTGTTAAATTTCTTCCACAAACACGGTGAAATTCGAGAATATACGGGTAAACAGGAGATAGGTGTAAAAGACTTTGTTATAAAACAGAAGACTTTGTTAAAAAAAACAGGAGATTTCGTTAAAAAACAGGAGACATGGCAGGTATGACATAGCCTAGTCCAAACGATGGACGAAACAGAAGATCCCATCGGATTCAAGTTTGGTGAATAAGATGGCCACTCCCATTTTAAATAAAAGGGTTAAAAAAAGCTTTTCTTTTGGTTTCTAAAGAACTACTGAGACTAAAGAAACAAGATTAATAATTTGTAATTAGTTTTTAAGATTCTGCAGCATATAGTTAGCGTCAAATCTTACTAATTAACTAGAGCCTCTTTTCATCCAGAGCAAAAACTTTTTGTCAAATTTAAAAATTTCTCCAACAACATATATATTGAACCTCATATAGCAATTTTACAGCTGTATCACTGATTAATTAGATGAAGAAGGGTGACAATTTTACACATAGGATTTTTGCAGTATCAAAAATACTCAAAGAATTGACCATTTCTTGTGCGAGCAATAAACTAAAGTTGGCTGTTTCATGCGAACGGAATCTGATAGTTTTTCACCATAGCTGTTTATTTATTTGACTATTATGTCTCCAACTATAACCGAAAGGAAATACATTATTAGTCTTAATGTTCAATGATTTATTGATAAAAGTAGACGATTAGGAAGATGAACCTCTAAAATCAAAAGTAAGTTCAACCCCAAATCATCAAGGTTCTACAGTAAAATATTGATAAAATGCTCCAACTCCAGAAAGTGCCCCTCTGTAATTTCACACAAATACTGATTGTCAATCAGTGCCAAAAAAGCAACCCCTTCATAGAAACACAATTTAAAAGTTCTTATTTTAAGAACTTTTTATCAATTTGCTTCTAATGAATAGTTATCCTGATATTGAGGGTAGAAGTATAATGTTATACCATGAATGAGCAAAGAATGGGGGGAGGAAAAGGAAGATGATTAATTAATCATATGAACTGAATTGATGATTGCTAACAAAAGTGTAGGTGTTAGTAAAGGGTGGGAAATGAGGGGGAAGCAATCTCATGCACAAGTGATCAACATTTTCTCTCTGCTGCATGTAGGTCAGGGTCACTTAGATTGGTATGTATGGCAAGGCTCTCCAATTTTTAAGTGGGGTGGGAGATGGGAGAATTGAACGAGAAAGATTGAGTAAAAGGAATAGGGCGTCACTTTCAGAAGTGTCTTGAAAGGGAGAAAAAAAATGTGAATAGAAGGGGCTGGGAAGAGATATGGAGTAAAAAGGAGTAACTGTTACCTAGAGTTGCCTAAAAATACCAGACAACGTTAAGGTTGCCTGCTCTGTCAACGGATGGATAATGGTTAACCTTATGGAAAGTTGGCTAAGGAGGATTTGGAGTCCAAATGAGGATGACGTTTTGAGATTAATTATATTGGGTTGGGCCTTAATCCCTAGCACACAGATAGTTTCAATTCCAGCAGGGCACACAAGCAGAATGCTTGTTAGATGGCGCTCTTTAAAAATGCATTAAGAAGAGAATGGGTGCTCTTCATTAAGAATAAACAAAAGACCCTGGCCAGGAATTCAAAAAGAACAACTGGGTCAAATTTGATTGGTTTTGTGTCGGCCACTTGGGAGGAGAGCCACTCTCTCTGAAGAGGCTATCTCAAACTCATTTCAGTGTTGTGGCATTTCCAACGCATTAGATGGAAGCGAAGATGAGCCTTTTCATTTCTAATTAGCAGAAATTAATGTTGAATCTATCGACAATAATATTACTGATGAATTGAATGAAGAGTGTGTTGCCCTTATTTTGGGTAATGACTCAGATATTTCTTTCAATGAATTTTTGGATTCTGATTAATATAAATAATTATTTTTCTTTTTATTAAATATTTTGCTATCCATATTTTTCATTTTTCTTGATGAATTTTTATTTTTTACTCATTTGCAAGTACCAAGATTTAGAAATAAAGGATTGCTGTAGAAGGAAAATCAGATTTACGAATTAAAATTCATATTTAATTCCTTTTGTTATAATTATTTTTACTTTGTTTACTTTTTGTGATTCATATTTAACTATGCAAACATAGTTGATTTCTTTATAATGGCGCTATGAATTTTCTTCAGGACTGTTTATTTGTCTTTCCTTCTCTACATCGTTGCGATTTTCGCCAAAATTAAGGAGACACTTTATCAGTATCTTACAGTATTTCAAAAGGATTTTAATATGCAGTTAAAAAAATATATTTAAATGAATAAAAGTAAAAAAACACTATTAAATACTGTAATTTTTTAAAATCGGTTCTGAAAAAGAATTTGTATCACTCTTTAAATTTAAAATTTAATGGAACGTGATTTTAATTATTTAGAGGGGGGGGGGGGGAAGGGGGGGGTTTCTAATTATATTTTTGGAATTTATAAAGCATTTCACTAAATAACTGATTGAAATAAATAAATCTTACCTTGCTGTGCCTTAATTGCATTTCCTTTTTCAATTTCACTATTCACATCTATATTAGCAAATTGTGATACCATGTCATCTATTAAAAGACAATAAGATATTTACTCAGTAAAAAATAAATAAATATAATAAGATATGTATTTAATTCAATCCTATAAACCACAATTCTTAATATACTAAATTAACTTTGCAAGAGTAAACAATAAAAATTGCATTTAAGAAATTTCTAACTTTAACTAAACAAGAACAAGTACTTTTTTACAGTATTTGTTCGATTATATGCTAAAAGGTTATAATTTCAAAAGCTGAGCAAATTAAAATTGATAAATTTTTATTAGATCTAATGTTTAATAAAGTTTCATTGTTTGTAATAATAAATACTTCAGTTTTGTGTTTTTAAATATTTGCATATAAAAGCTAATTAATAGCATTTTAACTGTTTCAGACTGAATTGATACATTTTTGTAGGTAAGTTTAAATATATGTGAAAAGTTCTATACCACACAAAATTCTATAAAACAGAAATCCTTAAATTTCAAGATTTTTGTTATAAAGAACTTCTTTAAATAAAATAAAAACAGTTATTAAGATATATTAAAACATAGTAGTAAACCTTTTTCAGCTTCTTCAGATTCAGAATCAGAGCCTTGATCAGTGCTTTCTTCTGCTTCACTAAAAAAAAAAAAAAAAAGATAACAATATATGAGTGATTTAATAAGTTATTTTTCCTAGGAATTTACCTTCATTTTTAAATATAATCAGCAAATTAACCTGTTTTAAGTAAACTGACTAGATTAAAATCTAAACTGCATTGGAAGTTCATAGCAAAATTAAATATGAACTAGCAAAAAATAAAATAAAGCTTATTAGTGTTGTTAATGGCATAGTAATTACAGTTACATTTTTAAGTTTAATGAAATAATAGTATAACAAAACTTTCAAAACTCAAAGCATAATAACCAAAAATAACTGTTGAAAATTGGTCTTACTGAAAATTAAATAAAATTTGTCATTTTAACTTTTTTTTCCCTCGCAAATAACCCCATCAGTCAAGAAGGGGCAGCCCAATACAAGGAAGAAACACAAAAAAGGTATAATGAAATATATATATTACTTTGAGGGGAATTAATTATCGACTATGTCAAACTTCATCTATCAAAAGGTACCTCAAGATGGAATCAAGTTAACATGTCTGATATACTAGTGAATTGGTATTCAATATTTGTAGTGGTAGTTACACCACATTACTCCCCTTCCAGAATTTTATCTGTGATAGAATTCGATGAACGAATACCACTAGTTGATTCATACTGTTTATTTGTTTATAATTTATTTTTATATCAATTTTGCTTATTAGATTTTCCTTCATTTTTTTCCTTTATAGCATTTTGCTCACTAAATTTTTTCCCCTTCATTTTTAAAAAAAAGTAATTCGCTCATCATTTTCTTTTCTTTGTTTACTTCACCGGATTACTCTTTATCTTCGAGCATTTCATTTTTAAACAAATTTTGAAATTGTCAAAAGTGTGTGTGGATCAATACCAAATTCAGCAACAATGTCTTTCCTTCTTAATGCATTTTAATGATTTTGCTTAGAGACAAAGTCATTATACATTTAGAGGTGCTTTAAAAATGACTGTGTTAAAATGTGTAAAATGTTAGTGCTTAAAAATAATTTGTTATATTAAATAAAAGTATAAAAAACAAACTCGCATGGGACTTTTCATTAGTGACTGCAAAAAGATTCTTTAAAGTAAACTAATTATAATACAATCAATGATACCTTGAACAAAAATAAAAGAAAGAACAATAAATATTCAGTAGATAGCATATAGAGCTGAATGTCAAGAAAGGAGAACTGTTTTGCACTGTTGTGAAACAAATTTTAATTAAGAATTGAAACCTTTGTTAATTAAGAGTAAAGAAATTTTAAAAAAATATATTTTTGTAACACTAGAAAATAATTTCCTTTGATTCCCTTTAATACATATTTCATGAACACATACTATAATTTCTTGTTATATTTCCTCTTTTCTTTAGTATTTATATAAGCAATGATTCTGATAAACTTTTATTTATTATTAATATTTTTATAATGTTTTTCTATTCCTAGAATATCAGTATTACTTTCTGCTAATTTAATTTCATCATAAAATAAATTTAAATGTATTCAGATGATGTAAATTAGGGGAAGAGAAATTTGAATCTATTCATATAAAAAATAATTTGTGTGTGTATGTGTCTGCATATCAGATTACGGGTAAATGATAGACTCTAAGAATACGAAATTCAACAAGAAGCTAAATGAGTACGATTGTAAGCAAATGATGAAGCCTGATTTTCTGTTTTATAATTTCAGTGACATTTAAGAAATTGAATTTTCTCATTGGCTTAGCAGAAGTCATTATTTAAAGGTAAGCTATAAATGATAAAGTTTTGTCAAATATTTTAAAGATAACATCAATCAGGGGTGATTGTGACAGGAAGTCAAAAACCCTGAAAATTTTATGAGCAAAAACTCGATAAGAAGATATCAATTTAGTTACTCTTCATATTTAATGTAATTTTTTGAACTAAGATTTATAATTGAATTACCTTTCAATAAAACAGTCGTACAAGAACTGCGATATCAGATTTTAAGAAAGCAAAATCACATATCACGATACTAGGTTTTAAAATTGTGTGAATATTTATATGAATCGCAAGCACTGGATTTAGGAAGGTGATATTACAAATTGAAATATCAGATTTTTAAAGTGTAAATACGAATCACAGTGTAGGATTTTTAGATCCTGTGAATACAACTACCAACATTGGATTTTAAACTCGAGTGAATACGAATTGCGATATTGATTTCAAAAACGTGCAAACACAAATTGCGATGTTGGATTTTTAAATCCTGTGAATACGAATCGAAATGTAAGATTTTTAAATTGCCTGAATACGATTCACAATGAATAATTTAAACCACAATGTTCAATAGAACATTGTGGTTTAATAGAATGTCCACAAATCAATGTTCGATATTAAAATCGCACGAATATGAATCTTGATATTAAAGGATTCCGGCGTACCGTAATTTCACACGTATAGTCCGCAGGACCGATTACATATAAAAGAAATTTCCAAAATCGTCAGATAGTCCGCGGACTATACGTCCGAAATCACGTTATTTTAATATGGCAATATTAATGTATAACGGAATTAAAAACAAAACCTAATGATGAAATTTAGGAATAAAAATAATTTATCGAGTGCAAAATTTATCATGAAAAGGAAAAAAAAAAAAGAAAAAAAATCAAACGTAGTGGAATCAGACAAACAAAACTGCAATCTGCTTCATAAAATAATTGCATGTTTAAAATAATAAACAATACTCCTTTTATTTTTTTTATTATAAAAACATGATTTTTAATTAAAGCAGGTGTGATTCCACATCAAGAAAAACTTGCAAATGATACCACACTTCCAAAGAATCAGAATTTATTCGAAAGAAAAATATTTTACTTTTATTAATCGATGTCAAATAGATAAATATATTTCTCTCCTTCATCTTCTGTTCACTGATATGCATGTGCAATACATCCCCCCCCCCGTAAATCAAACAGAAGACGAAATCAGCGTGCCACTCCTTTGAGTTTGATTAACGGCCTAAAGGAGAAAATAAAGATCTAAAATTGTCAAGGTCGCGGAAGAAACGACGTTTCTCTGGGTAAACGGGGGGGGGGGGAATTTCCCCTTCCTCACATTTTCCTCTACTCAACTTCAAGGATGAGTCCAATTTCCGCTTTTTTTTCATATCATTTTAGTTAAAAATGGCGGGAGAACCGAGCAAAATTTCCCCCCGCATTATCGATACGATACATACGAATGTTTTCTTGGAATCTCACACTGTTGTTTATATGTGATCATCGGCAGTTCACGACAGCGTGCTCATCATTTAGATCTCATCATTTTAGACTGTTTTTATCAAGAAAGTAATGAAAAATTGACATTATTAATGCAAAACCTTCATCTGCTTTGATAAGATTGCTCATTTGTATAAGAGAAAATTCTAAAAGACTAGCTTTATTCACAATAAGTTGCATTTCCTTCTTTTCCATACTTAACACAGGACACTTAAAGAAATTCTTGTTACAGATCAAGCGACTAGAATAGTTAGTAGATAGCTAGGCACAAAGAAGTCCAGTATGCATGCATCATTTGAAGAATTAATATTTTTTAACAATGCTTATAATTTTATAAAAATTTAATTGACAGCGGAAACTATTTAATGGGTTTATAGCCAATGTGTTAGTTCTTTATAATACATATTTTTACCTTGAAGTAATTGATTTTTACTACAAATACATACATTATAATAATTTATTTGCACTCTCATTCTAGAATATAGATTTTATATATATAAACAAACAAACAAAAAATGCTTACAAAAGTGTAACTAAAAATGTCATAATCACAAGCTAGGAAATTATAACAATAATCTTCAAGATAAAAATTGATTGAAAAATTAATAATTTGATTGTTTAATTTAAATATGTTATACATATACTATATATATTTAAATACATTACATTTATACATATACATATATATACACATTATATTATTAAATACATTATATATATTTATGTTCTAAAAAAGTTACCTTGGCCTTATTAAAGTTACCAAAACCCACTGATCCAATACAATATGACAGACTAATTTAAAACCAAACAATAAAGTGTGTTTTGATCAATTTAAAAGCCTTTGCGCATACACTATTTCTTAAAACTAAAATTTGCTTAACATACAGAAAAATGACTTTGTCAGAAAGAGTAAAGCCATATATAAAAACAATGTAGTATAGAACTAATAAAATATCCAGTATCAAAGAGACAAAAAAAGTAAGTTTCATGATATTTACATTTTTACATAATACTGTTTCAGTAAAATGCTTATTATTTAAAAGATTATTTCTTTTATATTTAGTTGTTCTAATATTGCAAATTGAACTACTTATATTTATTTTCTAAAACTATTAATTTTGATCCCATTTTGTTTGTGAAAATTTTTAGAAATTACCTAGATGATTTATTCTCCAAATCCTTTTTAAAACTGGCAATGCCATCTTCACTCAATCCATCATCTTCATCTGAAACTTCATCCTCATCTATGTCTGAATCAGATTCTGAGAATTCTGATTCAATTTTTACTTTCGATTCATTAACATTTCCTTTTGAGAAAGAAACATAAATGAATGTAATTAATAAGAAAAGTAATCATAAATCCAAAATAAATATTCTTAACACATGTCATTTGAGCATGTATATAATCAATCTAAGTTCTTTTAGACTACTTGTGTTATGAAACAAAATGCACAACATTAGCAAATAAAGTAGGTTTGCCAGGAAACAGTAAATAATGAAAAATAATTAGTATAACACTAAACTAATATAAAACAAATATTTCATATTATGTTTCATCTGCAATTTAATATAATCTTTAATCGCATTTATTGGAAACAAAAGCAAGTAAAGATTAATTGGGAAAGAAGAAGAAATAAATTGCCGAGTTAAATAAAAAAAAGTAATGAAGATTGCTAAATATTCCAGTTAGCTAAAGTATGGAATTGCAGCTTTTATTGTAAATGAGGCTGGAAAAAAGATAATTCTAATTAATTTCGTTATATACAGGGTTGGGTTTTTGACGTCAAAAAGTGGTTTTTGACATGACAAGGGTATAATACTGGTTTAAACCGTCAAAAATGTCAACAACTAAAGTTTGCCAAAAAAATATATAAACTTCAAAACTACCAACAGTTGCCATGCATTATATTGAAATTTAATTATACTATAGGTAATCAGCAGGTTTTAAAATATTTTTTAATTAAAATTAAGGTAAAATAACAGATTTAAAATCTTAGAAATTTATATTCAAATGCATGTGCAGAAAAATTTTGCACAAAATTTTTTTAAATATTTATATTTTGAAAAAAAATTTTTTTTTTT